CATCAACACCATCCAAAACAATATGATGCTAGATGGTAATATTTTGTAGTTGCCCTTAAAGAAAGTAAAAACATTAACTAATAACATGGAGGTGTCTGCAGAGATCTCTCAGAAAAACCTATAGTACTTGCAGACAGCTGTAATGTACCAATTTGAGCTAGCTGTCTACTTGCCATTTAAAAAAAAAAAAATAAATAGTTGTATCTTTGTATAAATGGAGATAAGGGCAGTGTTCTTGATATCCTCTATCTGATGACTCCCTGGTCTCCAGAAATTAGTTTTGTATTGGCCACAAAAATAATCACTCTCACTCAGATGGGCACACATGCATTGTAAGTACATTTATGCAGATGAATTCCACCTTTGTTTCCTTTAGTTTAAAATGCCTATATTGAGGCACTTGGGTCATAAATTTGGAAAGAAATGAGATTTTGTTGTTTAATTACACTGTGCCTTACACTGTTATCTGTGAGACAGAAGAGGAAGCACTAGTGATATATCTTAGGTTGAAAGACAGAAGAAAAATGGGATTCTTCATGGTTCTTTGGATCATCTCATCTCAGTACAGCATATTTAAAATACAGTTCTGCAGGGGAATTGCCATAATAGATGAAACAAAACCCAACTCTCAAGCAAAGAAAAAAACAACACAAAGATAGAACTCTCTCTTCATTTTCCATATTCTATTCAATTTAATAGTATGTTACTAACTGATAAGCCCCAAACCTACCCATTTAATAAAGAACATTTGTAACCATATATTACAATTTAGGATTCTTGAGCCTCTGATCATCACTTCATGGTGGACTAGGTTATCAGAGATACATAACTAAATCCCTGCTCTTTTCTGTTGAAAAAGACAAGAACAATTTGGTTTGGAAAATGAGATTATATACAGTTGCACAAATTTATCTTTTCCTTTTTATACTGTTTACTGCCTATAATTCCTTGTTGCCCTGACTGCCCTCACAACGTTTGGAGTATTGGAGATAATGGGATCACATAAGAAATGAAATCCACCTGAATGCCAAAGTGTCTTGCTGAAGTCAGTCCTTAGCTCTATGTCCCTACATGTAACACTTGGAAGCCACTCCTCCGCTCCCACGGAAAACCTGAAATGTCTCACATTTAGAAAATATAATGATGGCTATTTAATAATGTTTGCTTCTTCTCTGGAAGAGGATTATTCAGATTAATTGTGCAGAAAATTAGTCTGATGATTTGATTTTTTTTTTTTTTTTTTTTTGCATCTCAGCCAAGAATAAAGTGAATTGTTTTCTGGGGTTCCCTCAGAGGTGACTGGCACATACAGTATTTCAGAGGGTGCATTTGTCTACCCCAGTTTGCAGATTTCTTACTCTGCATAGCTCTGCCTGCTTTACAAAGAGCCAAGACAGAGCATTGGCTATCCTAATCTGTTTTTGCTATACTATTTTGTACTGTTATTACTCTTATTTAGAAAAACATTTGAGCAGCACCTAAGCAAGTTTCTCCTTTTGATAATAATGCTACAAAGTTACATGCCTCCTAGTCCTCTCGGTTCTTCATCTACTGCTTCTCTCTTTCACATAATCTTCAACCAAGAGCTTTCTAAAATACTAGGAAGATTGTTGCCTTTTAGCTTGAAGATTTAGTCAACTATTATGGTATTTACCCTGACTATCACCTCTTTCCAAAAAGGGGAATGATATTTAGGCTTTTTCCTTTCTCCTCCCAGAAAACTCTGTGTCTCTTCATATTTCCCACAGGACACTGTTTTGGGGCAGCCAAGGTCCTACAAGTCACATGCTGAATGCTTAACCTGGAGAGACCATTTCCCTTTTTTTCAACATAGCCTTGTAGCCATCTCAGCGTAAATACTTAGATTTGTAAGGAGCTTCATGCAGTTACAGTCCCAGGAGACGAGGAGCTCTTTAGCTCTTTTTCTAAATATATAAAACATATCTTAAAATTGAAAAAATGGAAAGCATTTTGATACTTTCAAATAACCTTTGAGATCAAATGTTTTATTTGCTCTCTGAGTCACCAGTTCATCTCTCTCCCAATATTCACTGTGGGTTTTTTATAAGATCCATATTCCTCCTTCCAAAAGCACTTTGAAATTAATGTGCTTTAGTGACAGCCCCGTCTGCTGCTGCCCCTGTGATCCCTGTCCCCATTCTTGCTGCCATCATTACCAGGGTCAGGAGAGACTATGGCAGGGGCAATCACAGCAGTAACAGTGGAAGAGGCTGAGGCAGTCACTGCCAGTCTCTGATTGTCTGTTCCACATCCTCCAGAATGGGCTTTGTGCCCTGGAGAGCCAATGACAATTTTGCCATATTTTGCTACAAAGGTGTAAAAGCTGATGGGACACCAACAGACTGCTTTGCCAATGCTGTGCTTGAAAAAGAATGTTGAACTTGTACACAGTACTTCTTAGCCATGTGTCCTGCAAGAATTTATGGAGAAAGATAATCATCATTGCCCTGTGTTGTGGTGCAGGATTCATTTGGTGTGTTCTGTTACCCCCTAAAGCTATAATGGTTCGGTCCTGGGATCCCCCTCTCCCCCTCCCCTGGAACCTCTCTCTCTGAGAGTGTCAATTCGTTCTCTCCTCCCCTGTTTCCCTGGTTACCTTCTGTCAATCCCTCCCCAAGTTCCTGTCCATCACCCACTGTCTCCTTCCCATATTCCAGAAAGTTCTCCTTTCTTCGGTGGGTGATTGGATCGGGAACAAGGGTCCCTCCCTGTCACATTCCCTACTGGCTAGCCGGCATGTTTCTCACGAGTTTGTTCACTCCCCAGTTCTCCCTCATTGGTCAATGTGTTGTGTTTCCACCCCCTTTATAAGCTGCTGTATTCCTGACTCGTGGTCCCTGCCCGGCTGGTGCACCTGGAGTAATAAAAGGCTCTGGATTTTACCCCCGGGAAGGGTCCCTCTCTTCATTCTTCTACTTCGCCTGCCTGCTGCTCCCTGCTGCCCCTTGCTGAGGTGCTCCCGGGACGCCCCGGCGCATCTAGGGAGTGCCCCCCCGGCTGTCGGCTGCCGTGCCTTCAGCTCAGCCGGCGAGACCTCCTCCCTGCCCGAGGGAGTAGAGAAACTCAGACAGCAGCACAGCAGCCCTGAACTGAGGATGGATAGCTCAGGCGCCTTTTGCTTGCAGAGCACTGAAAAAGGGCTCTATCCCAAAGCCTCCTCTTCCATCCACCCCCCTGGAAAAACAAGTGTTGGAAATAGGAAAAAATACTGGGATTGTGCAAGAGATTCTTCCGCTATTGGAATAAAGCTCACCCATATCCAGCAACACCTTGATCCACCTAGAACTAGAGAGGCTTGCCAGTCCTCTCGCCATAGAGCTGAAGACAGAGCTTTGCACTCCTGATGAGGCCTCACAGCCTTGCTTTTCATAAATTAAATAACCTAACGGACTGTATCAAGAATTCAGCTGAAAATGTCCTCACGGAGAACTAAGGCTAATTTGCATGTAAACTGTTACTCTAAGCAAGTCTATACTAAGGCATGGCAAATTACTGAGCAGTTGTACCAAAATAGTGATACAGTGTTAATTAACACTGAACTGGATCCAGGGCTTTCTGCAGGACCAGTCCTGAGAGAGGCAGACCTGTGCTGGCTGGCTCTAACGAAGCTCAGCAGGAACTAGTTGTGATTGCTGTTTGCTTGCTTTTTGCATGCTGCCCAAACCATTCTGTGTGACTTACCAGCTGAGCCTGCTCTCGTGTGAGGGACTGTTACCAGAACCAGGCAGGACTGCTCCCCGTGGAGCAGCTGTGATCTAGTCCTGGACCTTGAGACCTGTCCATTTACTTATCCTGTAATTCCTTTACCCAAGTAGCAAGCGATACATTTTCCAGTAAATCCCATTCCTAAAGAAAAACATGGAAAACTAGCTTGTAGGAGTAATTACAGCTCCAGCCAGTGTCTTTCTGCCTCCCTGGTCTTCCCTTGTGCACAAGGGACTGAAATTTGTGCAGACACTTTTCTAGAATAGGACACTGTATGTAATTAGTCCTTTTTGTCAATGGGGAACTCAGCTCGGGAGAACCCTGTAAGAGTTTTTTTTCTTTATGCAACAATTAACTTATTTCAGCAGTAGCTCTATTGTAAGGCCTGTGTTCACTTCCCAAAGCTGGCTCACCAGTGTCTGCCCTAGGACAACATCCAGCTCTGCAGGGCCTTTCCCTCTTCTGCCCTGCTTTCCATGTGCGTGAGCTGGAAAGGAGCATGCATGCACTTTAGCAGGGTCCTTCAATCTGGACAGTTTGGAATTGGCCATAAGAATTTGTTCAGACAAAACCTTTGTCTTTGAAGTACTGAGTGCACATGAATTTGTGTCTTCTTGTAGATTTTGGGCTTGATAATACAGGGGGGGAAAACCCAACATTTTTTGGTTTTTGGTTTGTGGGGTTTTTTGGGTTTTGTTTTTTTTTTTGTTTTTTTTTTTTTTTTTTTGTTTTTTTTCTCAGCCAACAATATGTTTGCCTGCAAGCTTAAAAATAAATTAATGAAAAGAAGCTTTTTGGCAACTTAGTTTCTTGTATGAATGAACAAAATCCTTTCTGTCTTCTGTATCGTCTCCACTTTTGCCATCTAATGGAATTTGAAATGCATGAGTTCTAGTAACACCAATACAAACAACAGCGTACAGGCTCACCCATTCAATCATGTTTTATGTTAGAAGTATTTAAAACAAAAATATCAAAATAACTCCTCTAGAACATGAATAAGTGCTCAGTTCGATGTTTTAACAATACTAGCAGCATATGGTGGAAAGCTGATTGCATGTTCCTTCTTTGCTTGTGTCCCTCATTCACTACATGTAACAGAAAAACATTTTCGTTTGTTCACTCCTTAAAGCTTTTCATGGACACAACTTACTACATTAAGACATTTTGAATTTTGTAAAATATATTTAGTAATACCAAATACATTTCTTGCCCTCCAAAATCTAGACAAGCGAAAAACCCAAAATGCTTCTGATCAAATAAATATGCAGGTTTATTAGAGCAAGTTTCCATGTTTTAAATTTGCAATGGTTTCACAATTTTTTATTTCCTTCTCTTTCCATTAGGGCACCCTGATGATAACCCAAAGTAGCTTTTAAAAAAATATATCCACAGATGAACAATTTAAAAATATTGGCTGTATCTTCCAACATTACAATTATGTGGAAAAAGTCAGTATTTACAAAAAAAGTCTGGAAATCAAATATGACAAATTTTGTTGTCAGTTTAATTACATAAGGTATAGAACACTCACAGGGGACATTAATGCTGACAAGCCCCAAGTGTAAACCTAGATTTTGTAATGTATTTGAAAAAAACCTAATTTTGTACTTTGGGTCTCTTTGGTTTAATACATATATTAGTCATTACCCAGTTCATTTTTATTTTCAACAATATTCTACACACAATTTTTTATTCTATTTTCTGTTTGAATATAAAGTGTAATAGAAAAACCATTCAATTATGGAAACATTCAAATTCTATTAGTACAGCTAATTGGTTTTTAATACATATTTCATGTACAAAGAAAGTAGTAGCACAAACAGAAGGCTAGGCAAAGGATAGTGTACTTAATTTGAAACACTTGCAATTTCAGTAACTGTGAATTACCTACTTGCAAAATATACACAGTACACATAATGTGCACAAACACACACACAACATCACTGCATGCTGGGGTTTTTTTTAACTAAAATATAGCTTCAGGTTCACAGACCTTTGTCCAGAGTTGGTGAGAGCTGTAGTCACATTTGTATATTAAAGGTGGTCAAAAAGATAGTCTGTGAATTATAAGCCATTCCACCACACTGTCCTCTGGCTTCTAGTGCTCTGAACAACAGCAAACACAAGGAAAGAAGAGAATGGGGACAAGATTTCCTTTAGTGACAAAAGAAGAATTTTTTTTAGTTATAATATTCCCTATTCTTTGCCCAAAATAATCAATGGGGAGCTTCTGGAATGGTTTAAGATGATCTTATTCTGCACCTAACTCTATTAATTTCTGCTACCATTACTGAGGCAGGCATGGGCGCCATCCTCAGAGAAAGCCACATGCAATCTCCTCAAGCAATTAGAAAAGCAATCTTGTTTGTTAGGTTTCGGTGAGAAAGAAAGAAATCTGGTGCTGAGCTTCCTCCTTGCATGCACGTTGTGCAGCCCCGCTGTGTCCCAGTGCTCCAGCAGCCAGCTGGGACTGTGTCAGCAGTCCTGCAGGGGGCCAGGGGAGCTCCTGGATTTCAGCATCCGGCAAGCTCAGGAAAACAGAGCAGACAGGGAGCTGTACTTCTGAAAGAGAGCCTCAAGACTTAAAAACTCAGCAAAACTTACTCAAGGAGCTTCAAAACCCAACCTCAGTACAAGAGACGGGCTCGAAGGAAAGATGTAATAGGATTGTTCACCATATAAATGAACTACAGTCAATTAGCATGCATTGTATTGAGAACAAGCACACCGTGAATGCTTTGTAATCAGCAAATGTGTTGTGATGACTTTGTATTGCAGTTTACTGACAATTTTTAAGACTATATTTTCATGAGCTGCCAACAAAAAATAATAATAGAAAAAGACAAGCCGACAACATTGACAATTTTTATATGCTCCCAGAAGACTTGTAAGTTTGATTCTCAGATCTGTGTCTTGAAATGCACTGGTTCTACAGCTCTTACCAAATGACTACACTCTTCTGAGCTCGTGAGGCTATTTGCTTGACAACCTAGCAAGGTAGCTTGATCCTAGATGTCTCAGTGAATCAAAAAGAAAATATGGCATTCCTACCAATAAAGCAAGTGGTTCTGGTATTCATTATGAGTTTTCTTGGTGTGACTGTTTGTAACAGTGCTGAGCTAGTCATAGCGTATCATACTTATTTACCAATATATTTTTGAAGTTAGTTTAAAAAATTGATAATAGGTGCAGCAACACACACGCACACACAGATATGCTGAATAATTTCCGTCAACATCAAGGGAAGAAGAAATGTCACCCTAAAAATGAAATCCCACAATACACACACAGACATTGACAGCACTAAAAGATTTGCCTTCACAAGGGCTGTTGAATTTCAGTGTCTGAGAACTGCTAGACCTTTACAAGATGAAGCCTCATGAGCAACTGAATTCCAGCAATTCAGAGTCTGTCTAAGCCCATTCCTTATCTGGACAGCCAAGACTTCTTCCCAACTCCTTTCTGGTAATGTTTAAGACTAAACTGTAATCTTGCTCATATTGTCTTCTTTCCCCGTGACCTCATCAGACAATCATGAGAAGTTTTATGCATTAACACTAGAGAGTGGAGTTAGCCCAATACATGACAACTCCATTGCTTTGAGTGTTTTAAACAGCAAGCAACAAACAATGCACTTAGTATTTTAGGAACAGACAAAAATTAAAATAAATTCTATTAAAAAAAATAACTGCTTTATTGTAGCCACACCTTCCTGATCAGTTGCCCAAATCCTAAAAAACTTTCAGAAAATAATTTACATACTGCAGCATAGCTTATCAAGCAAGGGGGCACTTTTTGTCTCATGGCATCTTAGTCATTCCATGGTAGCACGATGGTGCCCTGGATTGGCATAATGTGCCATGCCACAACCTTCCCAAGCACTGTGACGGGACTGCAAGCCCTGCCTGCCCTGAGGCCTGTCTCACGTTGGGATGGGGATGAAGCTGGTCGATTTGGAGTGGGGCATCTCTCTCCATGTGTTCAGGCTGTGGGTTGGGCTTCTGTTGTTGGTGAAAGAAGTCTGTCGCCTGCTATTGCTGTTTGAATCTTCTTTACTTAGCGTTTGCTTAATTTTTTGGCAGCAAGGGAAGCTCCCTAGGCAGTCTTGGAGGAGGTGCCCACTGAAGAACATGTAGATCCACGGGTTACAGCAACTGTTCAGGCTGGCCAGCAGAGCCGTCACAGTAGTTGCAGTGTTTTCAGAATCTGGGAGGGGGAAAAAAGCTGTTTAATCATCAAAAATACATTTGCACCATTCAGTCAATTGCTTCGTTAACCATTGGATTTATTTCCTTGAATATTCGAGTTCTAAATGTTGAGCTACAGCATTTTAAACAGATAATTAGAACATAATCAGTAAAGGTCTTATTTATGTAAGGCTGCCATTGAAGTCAATGAGGATTTCTCTGAACTGACTTCAAAAAGCTGTGACAGAATAAGTTATGGGGTAATCCATCCAAAATAACGATTTAGTCACATTTCCACTGATGTGTATCCATGTGTTGATAAGCTCCTGCTTTAAATACCAAAAGGTTTTTCCCAGACCCTGGGAGACAATGGTAAAATTTCCACTTTACTGTTTTCAAAATTTACTGTTTTCTGTAACACTGAATTTTGCTGTATATATTTGCATGCTGAAAAGTACTGAATGTTCAACTAACTACTGGATTGTCCATTAAATCTGAATTTTACTTAAGGGAAAAATGGAACTTAGCACTATGGCATGAAAAAACTATGCTGTTCTACCTTTAATAACTAGTTAATAGTTAGATCAAATACTCTAAATATGTATTTAGTCTAATCAATTATTAGTGATTTTTCTTTGTAAGTATTGAATCTTCAAAAAAGTATAATTACTGTGTTATGCAGTTCCATAGATTTAAAGAATCTCTTCAAACACACCATCTGTCCTATTAGATTTAATTCCCTTTGAAGTAAAAAAAAAAAATGTGTTTACTGCAAGTCTTTATTTCTCTATAGAGATCTGCATTATAGGCTTGACTTTAGTCCCATATTGGAGGCAAGCAACACTATCACTACAGTAACTGGTCATTTGGGGATATTTTTAAAAATCAAGAAATTATGGATTCCAACATTTTGATTTGCTGCTCTCTCCTTATGAGGAAACAGAATATATGTCACTATGCTGCCTGTCATTACCTATGTAATACCTTTTAAACTGACCAAATTTTTTCAGCCATATTTAACAGTGGGACAGATATCATGTGTCACTGATTCATGAAAATCGGTGACTTGACTAATGGAGCACTCAGAGGTGACTGCCTTGCTGAGAGGGAAGGTTCAGGGCGCTCTCAACCCTATTATTTGACAGCAGCTACAGGAAAGAAGACGTAGTAAGTTCTCTCTTCATGTAGCTGCTCCGACGTGTATGTGCATACTTCCCAACAATACTAAACATTTCTAAAGTTTTCTTATCCGCATCTTCAAACGGACGAAAACGTTGCTGGTTCAAATTACAGCAGCAAATACTCCGGTTTCCATCCGCTCCTTTTGCGGCTGCCGCCAGCAGCCGTTCCGCCTGCCCCCGGGCCGGGCCGGGCCAGGCCGAGCCGAGCAGAGCCGAGCAGAGCCGGGCCGAGCCGAGCGCTGCGGCCGCCGCCGCTCCCGGGGCCGCCGGGTGCGGGACTGCGAGCGGCGCCGGCGGCATAGGCCCCGAGGGCGGCGGCTGCCCGGGGCTGTCTGTTCCCCCCCACAGGGCCGCTCAGCCGCTGCTCCCCGGCGGGACAGGGACCTGTGCGGTTCGGGAGGGTGTAAGGACAGGAGGGCGCGCCCCGGTCCCGCTCTCCGCCTCCGCGCTCCGTTTCCCCGCGCTCGGCTCAGCGCTGCGCAGCGCCCCGGGACAGCCGGCTGCGCCTGCAACGCGTGCGGGGCAAAGCGACGCGTGACCTACCGACCCAGGGGAAGCGCTGGTCCCACACGGACCACATCTGGATGGTGAAGAAGGGCGCCCAGCAAACGACGTACACCGAGACGATGACGAAGGTCATCTTGACGGTGCGGATCTTGGCTCGGGAGATGGTTTTGACGTTGCTGACACAAGGGGCGAGCAGCAGCCCCCGTCGCGGGCCACCATCATCACCTGCCCGCCGCCCGCCACCCGCTGCTGCCGCCTCTCCGGGGCGCGTCTTGCCCCGGACGTTGCGCCAGATGCGGTAGCAGATGAAGCCGTAGCAGACGATGAGGATGAGGACGGGCGCGATGAAGATGCCGCCGGTGATCCAAGTGATGTAGGCGCGGGGCCCCCAGGGCATGATGAAGTGCGCCCAGCAGTCGTAGACCTGCGAGCCTCGCTCCACTTCGCTGAGGGAGAAGATGAAGTACTGCGGGGTGCTGAGCAGCAGGCTCAGCGCCCAGGCCGCCGCGATCATCCCGTACGAGCGCTTGGTGGGCTGCTGCAGCGTCTTCAGCGGGTGACAGACGGCGATGTAGCGGTCTGCGGTCATGGCCACCAGCATGTACGCCGAGGCGAACATGCCGAAGACCTGCAGGTGCTTGACGACGCGGCAGAGCCCGTCGGGGCCGTGGAAGCGGTGAGTCACCTCCCAGCAGAGCTGGGGCAGCACCTGGAAGAAGGCCACCACCAGGTCGGCCAGGCTGAGGTGGCGGATGAAGAGGTGCATGCGGGACGCCTTGCGCGGCGTGCGCCGCAGGGCCAGCAGCACGCTGCCGTTCCCCACCACCGCCACCGCGAAGGTGACCGCCAGCACCGCGATCTCCAGCTTCGCCAGCTCCTCGTCCCGCCCGAAGGGATCCCAGCCGCCCAAGCTGCCGTTCGGCGACCCCGACCACGCCTCGGGACTGGGGCTGCTGCCGCCGCCCGGCTCCGCCGCCCGCCACCGGCTGCCATTCCCGGGTAAGGGCACAGCCCGGGGGGAGCCGGCTCCGCCGGCGAGGCGCATGGAGCGGGCTGCGAGTGGGGCCCGGCCCGGCCCGACCCCCGCACCTCCGCTCGCCCGCCTTTCCCCCTCCGGCGGCCCGGAGCGCCGCGCCAGGTGCCTTTATCCCCCCGGCCGCGGGAGGCGAGGCGAGGCGAGCGGGAGCTCCCGTGCCAGTGGCTGCCCGGCGCCTGACGCCAGCCCCCTCCTTCCCCCGGGCCCGCCGCCCCCTCGCCCCGCCGCGGGAGCGGGGCCGCTCCGCCCCGAACGCGCCGCGCCGACGGGGAGCGGGGACCGGCGGCGGGAAGGGCTGCTCGGCTCGGAGCGGTGCTGCCGAAGAGCTCCCTCACGGACAGGTATAGCAGCACTTATAATTGCGAGTAAAATTGCCGTAATCCTGCAGAGCCAATGGAGGTCTGTCAGGATCAGCCTGCACGCCCCGATCTGCCTTCGAGCCAAGCAAAGTGACTTGTCGGTAAGAGGTGCTGGTCCTGAGAGAGTCCGCCTGGGCCTCTGGCATTTCACTGGGGTCAACCCCAGAGATGTAAATTATTAGAAAAAATAATGCAGAGTTTCAAAACAACCTAATGTCTCTTAATGTTTCAGGACTTCATCTCGGACAATAAATGTCATCCAAGACTTAGCAATAGGTCTAAACCACACGTTTCTTCAAGTACAAGCAAAATCTCCACATTAACTGGAGAGTTTCTGGCAGTGGGCCATTAAAATTCTTGTTTTAAACACAGTTTAGATGAAGAGTGTTCTTGCTCTTGGTAGAATGAATGGACTTGGTGAAAATTTTGGTCCCATTGTCATGAGTGTGGATTATCTCCTGATTTCTTCACTGGTACCTGAATTTGACCTTTCATTTAGAAACTCCTTCCTTCAACCACACAAAAATGCGTAAGATCACAACAAAGAAATACTGTGTTGGATACCAGCCCTATCTGTGTTTTTAATAAAACTCCCTATGTCTCCTCATAGATGACTACAGTTAAATTCAGTTACAAAAAATATGTGATTTTACAGGGAGAAGAAAAAAATGGAAAAGAATGAAAGATTAGGTCTTATTTCTTTAATTAAAATATATTTTCAAAATTTTTTACTCCAGAAGAATTTTGAAGTTTAAAATACATGATAAGCTTCTGAACATGTTATCTTTGTGCAAGGCTTTATCCCAGGCTTTTTGCCACTTTCTGGGCTTTTTAGCTCCTGAGAGGATGTGTGCACCCACTCCAGTCTGTCACTACCCTTCCTTTGCTTGGGGATCAGTAGCAGGAGTTTAGGAGGACGCCTGCTCCTACACTGCAAATAGTTGTCATGAGTTTTCCAGTTAAAACTGCAAACCCTCCCAAGCCCTGGAAATACATGCAATAAATGTGGATATCCTTAGTTTCTAGCAAACTTGTTTCTTTAAATATGCTTTTGTTCCAAAACCTGATTTTTACAAACAGTTCAATGCATTATTTACAGCTTAATGCCTATTTATTGTGTTAGACCTGGGAAACTGGTGAGTGTGACCACAGGTTTCAGGTTAGATAGGGGAAATTAAAGCTGCTTATCACAAATCTCACAACACCACACCACTACCAAGGCTTCTTTCACACTCCTTGCCTGTCTCTGACGTGCTTTACAGGAGTTGAATGTTACGTAAATAAACAGTGTTATCCAGGAAACTCTGCTCACAGATTTTCTGCTGTGCAAACTATGTGAGGATCATAAAACTCTATTCACTGCTGGGTATGTCATCCATTAACAGAAGAGATGATATTCAGGTTTGAGAGAGACATATTTTTAGCAGTCAGACAATAAGATAAACGTGGTTGTATTAGTTCAGGATGCTGAGAATTTGTGAAACCCACATCAACTCAGAAATACTCCTTTTCCGACATATTCTTTGTTCCTCTGAACAGCATTTATAATAATGTTTCCAGAGCAAAAGGCTGGAAAATTGCCTGAATATCATTGCACAAGGCTGTACCTAGTGATTACATGCAATGTTAAGCATGATACTGATAATAATTTTTATTGTATATTACTGCATCAGACAGAAATAACCTAGGGTTAGTCTTGATGTATTTGTTTCATTTCCTAAATTGATCAAAATTGATGTTTTTAGATAACATACCTAAAGAGGCTGTTATAAATTCCTTTGTTTCAACAAACCTAGATAAGTCAGTAGAGAATTTTATTTATATCTAGTATTTCAAAAATACCCTCCCAACAAATTCATTACTTCTAAGGTTTCTATATCAGATTAATCAGCACCTAGTCTGATCTGGGTTGCTTAATCCTAAGAGTATTGGTGTTCTTCAAATTAATCAGTACTTGTAGAATACCCTTCCAAAGAGAAAAATTGCCACTGGGAAGGCTGATGGAGGAAATTAATATTTTTGCCCTGTGATTCACCTGGAGTTGGAGCTGAACTCTTGGTAAAGAAAATTGACACTGCTGTTACAAGAAACCTTTATGTGTTCTGACTGAGCACACAGACTTCTACAGAACTAAGAATGGTAAGGATTTCTATCATGTTCTCTGCTGCCATACAGGTTTCTGTAAAAGTGCTTGAAGGTTGACAGATATCTTTCTGAATGCTGAACTCATTGAAGACTGAATGGCTTCTGTGAAGTGCTCAAAAACCTAACTGGAACATGATCCAGTGTGTTGCCAAATGCAGCTGGTTTCCATTCATTCCTTGCTGCTGTGGTAGTGACTTTACCTCCAGACTTAGCCTCTTCCTCAAGGCAAAAGAAATGCTCTGAGTAAGTCAAAGACTCAATATTGTAATCCTGGGAAATTGATAATGATTTGTATTCTGCAAGATAACTTTTAAACAAAAAAATGGCAGGGGCTTTCAGCATAATGTTCTTCAGGAAAACTGGTTGTTTGGAATTTTACTCAAACTATTTTAGTCTGTCAGGTTTTGTGAAGAGTTGCTCTACCAGTGGGAGTTATAAAAAGTCAATATAAGCAAAAAAAAAAGTAAAGCTTTTAAAATTAATTCCTCATGCAGGATAAGGGTTAAAGCACTGGTAAAAAAAGATATTTGTTTATTTGTAGAGGATTCAACTGCCTTGTTAAAAAGCACATAAAATATCTACACAGATATGAACAGCTGTCTCCTGCAATTTGTCTCCAAGTTCAAAGTATCTGTAATGCTCCCTTTGAATGACACAATTTAGTAAATAAGGATGAGTTTGATAGGCCTTCCCAGAGAGCCTGGGACAAGGCTTAGATGCTCCAGATCCCAATCTTTAAATTCACAGCTATGGGAACCAAGCATGGGAAAAAGCCCATGTGCTGAGTGAGGGACTACTAAAAGCTGGGATCACCAGGGAGGCAAGCAGATATAGCATTCATTTGCCATCCCTGTGAAGGAAATGCCACCTGAAGGCAGACAGGAGCACAAAAGCCCACAAAGCAGACTCCTGAAAAAATGCCTTGTTGGCCCTTTATTGGCCTAGCTTTTGGACCACCAGAGCAAAATCAAATGAAGAATTGACCCAAACTGCCTTCAAAATAGATGACAAGTCTGAATTTGGGATTCTGAAAAGGCTGTAGTACAAGATCAAGAGACAGGTGAGATTAAGGGCCAACTCCTACTCTGGAAAACATAAAATTAAGAAAGCATCAGTAAGAGACAGAAACTCAAGGTTAGTCCTCAATATTCAGTTTGCAAAGCTCAGTTCATTGTTTGGAAACGTAGAAAAGTGGCCAGGAAAAAAAAGAGTTTTAAGGTTATGCCCCAAGTGTCCCTTTGCATGTTAACTGAAAGCATAATTAGATAGTGGTATTTGTATACACAGGAAGTCACGTCTGGCCATCCCTGCCATACTGTGCTTCTTTTCATGATGGCGTGTCATGATCTAACCACAGTCAACGACTGAGCACCAACAGCTGCTCCCTCAGTCTTCCACAGTGGGATGGGAGAGAGGATCAGAAGGGAAAACGCATGGGTTGAGATAAAGACAGTTTAATAGGTAAAGCAAAAGCTTTGCACAGAAGCAGAGCAAAACAGGGAACTCATACAGCGCTTCCCATGGCCAAGCAGGTGTTCAGCCACCTCGAGGAGAACAGAGCTCTGTCACGCACAGTAGTGACTTGGGAAAACAAATGTCATCGCTCTGAACATCCCACCCTTCCTCCTTCGTTCCCCACCCTGATATGCTGAGCATGAAATCACACGATGTGGGATATCCCTGGGGTCACCTGGGGGCAGCTGTCTCAGCTGCATCCCCACCCAGCTCCTTGTACACCCCCAGTCCGCTCACTGGTGGGGTGTCCTGGGAAGCAAAAAAGGTCTCAACTCTGTGTAAGCACTGCTCAGCAGAAACAAAAAGATCCCTGTTATCAAGTGTTTCCACACAAACCCAAAACATAGCTGCATACAACCTACTGCAGAGAAAATTAACTCTATCCCAGCCAAAACCAGCACAGGGAGGTTGACTGTGGTATCCAGGCAGTATTGCCCAGGGACATGTGCAGATACATGTCACCAGAAAAAGCAGCATGTTGCTCTTTTCCTTTTGCCTCTTTCCTTGCATCCTTTGTTGACCTGTTTGACAGCAATAAGGGCCTTCAGAATACAGAGTTCAACCGTTTCCCTGAAGAAATGTTAACAGAGCAGCTTGTCTGGATTTCAAGGCAGTAAAAGAAATGGGCATTTGAAGGCTTAATTGGCCTTTGTGTGTTTATAACCTTGTTGAAGGAACATATCAAAACAACATGGTGAAAGCTCCTGCCTTTCCCCATTGAATCACATTGATCAGATTTTCAACATGTCCAAGGCACAATAAAAATCGGCATGAGACAGTTTAACTAGAGCCTCAGTCAGCAGATCTCTCATTAAATCTGAAGAATTAAAGTCGTTAATCCTTAAATCCACAGAATAATTCAATTTTTTCATTAGCAGAATAAGAAAAAATTTAAACTGAGCTTCCTCACATTATGCCTACCTGGTGAAATTGTGTAATCTCAGAGTTTCCAGACCTGAAAGAGACTTAATATGCATTTTGCACTTCCACAGATACTGCTTTAGTGTTTTTGCTTTAAGCACATAATCAGTAGATTTACCTCTCAGTTCTCTTATTTCAGAGATGCAAAAGGCTCTTATTTCCTTGAACCAATTTCTAAATTACTTCTATCTAGAATTTAATTCCATATGTGGAATGTGGTGGGCTGATGCTGGCTGGAAGTCAGGTGTCCACCAAAGCTGTTCTATCACTCTCCTCCTCAGCTGGACAACAGCTTCTTCCAGACGCTGCACCTCTTGTCCCCTTACCAAAACTTTACATAAACCCAATACACTGCTGTTTCTATCGCTGTGTTAACACCTACCTTCCTCATGCCTTTTATAGGTTTTGATTTATCTAAGGGCAATTTATTAATGACTCTTGCATTCTCTCCTACTTAACATACACTAAGCCAAGCCAAAGAAAAATACTTCGTACAGTTTGGTGGCAAAAGTAATCACTATAAACAAACTGAAGTTTCGGGGTTATTTCTGTGATATTGTCTCAGAAAGTACTTGGCACAGTGAGATGCAATTCTCTTAAAAAATTGTAGTAATAATAAAGATTCTGTTCGGGTATTTAAAGTAGTAGGAAGGTATACAGGAAATTTATATATAACAATTTTTCTGAGGGATTTAACTGCAACTGAAAATGGCACTATCAACTGATTCTAGAAAATGGTGAATTTGTGTAATAGTTTGAACAAAACTGCTTTATTTATCCCAGAACTGTGCATAGAACTGAAAGCATATTGTGTTCAAGAATACACTGGCAGAGCATTACTGCTTCATAATTCTAATTGAAAGATAAAGCCACTTTACTTTTATGGAATAAAAGGAATAATGCTTCTGTTAATGACAAAATTTATTTTAATAGCTATCATTTGGAAACGTGTTCTAAAGCCATTTAAAATTAATTAG